GTTGTTGAGATATTGCGCACTGGGACAAATAATTTCTAACTGACCAATAGGCTGGCCACCATCAGCATCCTTGGACGCGGTCGCCAGCAATCAAAGTAGCTATAAAGAAGGAATGGTTTTGATCTTCCATGGCAAACACTTCAAGGGAAGTCCCACATGAGATAGATGGCTGACATATTTATGGTGAGCGGAAAATCCCCCAGGACGGGGCTAAACTGTCAACAAAATGTTGCAGTATTACAATCCAAACACTAATCACACTTTACCCTCTGTGTACATTAGACTGTTTCAGACTCAGACTCCGCCGGTTCAGGGGTAGGCCCGGGTCCTCCCTAATCACTGTGAGAAAGGTTGTGATGGCAGAGATTCTGGCTCCCTCTTGGAAATGTTTACATTCCTCCACGACTACAGGGGGGAGGAGGAGGAGAGAGAGAGAGAGAGAGAGAGAGAGAGGAGAGAGAGAGAGAGAGAGAGAGAGAATTACTTACAGCTGCAATGCTTCAACCCAAAGTCCTCCAAGTCCGAGGGCTTCTGGGCACGGACACAACATATTATGGCTAACATTAGGGTTTAAAGTAGTTTTTATGAAGGGCGTTTTGGTGTATTGTGTGTGGATGAGTGAGGGGCAGATAAAGGAGACTTACGTAACATGTTAAACGCCTGCTGTCTTCACCTTGGTTTTGTTTCAGTCCACTCAAACAGCTCTTGTAAACAACTAGTGTGTAGGGATTAAAGATGTGGTGTATTTCTGTGTATACACTGTGTGTTTCGGGCTGATAATGAAAGTCCTGGAAACTGATTGTGTGCCACGAGCCAAGTCAAGAAAAACTCTCGCAAAGTCAGAGAGCTTGGCATCGCTCAAAAGCCGAGGTCTCCTGGGGAGCCAGCCTTCATCAACGTGTTCTGTGAATAAGAAAAACATGCCCAATGGAATGAGGTCACTTATCAGCCAGGGCATTTGAAGGGTGTGCCTCGCTTCCTCTCAGCATCCCTCCATCTGTCAGGGAGAGGACAAATGACCTCAGCAACTACTGCCAATAATGTCATGTGATGTCAGCTTTAAGTTGACCAAAGGAGCAGACAGGCCAAACTTTATGAAGTCCCGCCTTCCTAGAAGAATGAACCAGGTCAGATTTTAGCTCTTGCTTCCAACTCCTTAACGCAATTGAGTTTTTACAGAAACTAGAAACTGATTATTGCTGTTTTTCTTTAATAGCGAAACCAAACAAGCCACAGGAGCAACCAAAAACAACTCTCACACTGTAAACTCAAAGATACCCTCTAAATACAGGGTAGCAGTGTCTAATGTGTTTGTGTGATGAGAAAATACATCGGTTTAGTCATTTAAGTGATAACAGTTGTGACTGACAACAATCTTAGTGGGAAAGGGGGTTTAATTGTGTGTGTGTGGGGGGGTGAACAAGAAAGAGAGTAAGGCATCGCTTCAGAGCAACCACAACAGTGCTACAGAGTTCATGAGAAGAATTTGTAAATCACTCAGGGTAATTACTGCGGAGGGAAAACTGTTTTTTTATCTCCAAACCACATGAAAAGGATTCCATTATTAGAATGTTAAGCGCTGCTGATCAAGAAAGCCTTTTTAAATCCCAAGAAGAAAAATGGGTCCAGCTGAAAATGTGAAGAAAAAAGAAGCCCCACAGGACTGTGCCATTTGTTAGTCTGGTCAACACTAAAAATATACTCTGCATGCAGCCTCTTTCACTTTCAATTACAACTTAAGATATCTTTGAGAAGATCTTGCACCACTGATGGTTTAATGGAGTGGGTCAGGACTGGTTCATAAAGATAAACATTATGTCAAACTTTTGGCACTGGACGCAGACGTTTATTGAACGCAGAGAGCCACACTCCTGGAACTGAAGGCCATGTTTCGTAGCAGAGGAGACTTTACACCTCAGATCAAACACGCTCCAGATTAGGTTTAGAGAGAGGAAGATGCAGAGAGAGAGAAAGTTAAACACCTAATATCTACGAAAAGGAAGGGTGTAGTCTTGTACCCAATTAAGACAGTGGAAAAAGTCATTTAGTGGTAGTCATAACAAGGAAACTGCTACACAATGATGTGTCACTGCTGGGATGGTCCTAACGAGTCATGCTAGCTGAGCATGCTAACAACAGAACGCTAACTACGTTAACAGGTTGATGTTTAGCACGTTCAACATCTGTAGTGTGTTGGTATGCTAACATTAGCACTAAGCACAAAGTAAAACTGAGTTTGACGCGTTTGGCAGGTATTTATTTGGCGTTATACCAAATTAAAGTAAATGTTAGCCTGTTGACGGCGCTACATGACAAGTTAATGGATCATCTTTTTACAAATGATCTTCAGGGGGACATAGCTATGGAATTTCATGGCCGTCTATCCAATCTAACATCAACCTTAAGTTAGAGGAAAATAAAGCTATTAGGATACATGGTCATGAAGATGTGTATACTTGTGCCAGCCAGTGCTGTAGTCAAAACCACCTTTGTCGAGTCCAAGACCAGGAATAGTCGAGACCGAGCCCGAGTCCAAAGAGGTTCAAGGTCAAGTGAAGTCTGAGTCCTAATGAGAGAGACAGTCGAGACAGAAACAAAAGAATGCTTTTGCCATTGCCAGTGAGTTGAGGTTTGGCAGCCATGATTGGCCGCCAGGTAAGCATGGTTACCAGGCAGCCAATGTCAATGACCAACTAGAATATCTGGCTAGACCCAGAATGGCAGAGACAAGTGTGAGTGCAAATACCAATGAGTTCACACTCAGGTCTGAGGCCAAACTTGAGCACTACAGTGCTGGTGCCAACCTGTCTAGTAGATGTTGAAATATTTCACTAGATAAATGAACATTTTTGGCCTGCAGGTGTTGCTAGATGAGAAATCAGGGGATTGTCAGTCATTAGGGTTCATTCTCCAGGGACCGTGCATGGATATCTGTACCACATAAAGCCAACATTGCCATCCCTACAGCTACAAACAAGTAATACAAAAAAATAAACTAAACACACACACTCTGTAGGGTGTAGTCTTTTGCCCAATTAAGACCCTGGAAACATTTAGTGTAGTCATAACACAAGACAGCTGCTATACAATAGTATCGCCCCTGGTGTGGTCATAAAAACAAAACACATTTTGCAGCTTATTAAACTAATCAACTCTAATCTCCTTCGGGCAATGTGCCTGATCCACACTGAAATCAACCAGCTTAGGATACCATGTGAACACGCTGACCCAAAACCAAGCTCATGATATGCTGGCACATACAGTAACTTTGAGTTAGATGGTGCAACCTGTAGATGGTCTACAGGCTGCACCATGAACCTGAAAAGACTGAATAATGTGTCTGTAGTTTATTCAGGTTTTGTGTGGACATAGTGGTCTACAAGGTTCGTACAAGACACTAAATGCTTATATTCCTATCGCTTATATTATATTGCTTCTAAGCATTCTCATATGTGAATGTATTTTGCCACTCTGGCATACTTTCTGTGTGCAGTCTATATTATTTCAGAGAGCCATTGGGGAGAGGGGTTAAAGCCTGGAATGTATACTATTTCCCCACAGGAAGCTGAGCATGGAAGTCTACCATTGCCCCACGCCCAGATCTCTCCATCGCACGCACAGTTGGCTGGCTACTGATTTATAGTACAAAAGTCAGAGATTCTTATGCATGTATAATACAAGTCATGTATGACACAAAGAGTAAAATAAACATCACAGAACGCTGCTCTTGATCTTTCGTGTTTTATTAAAGACATTTTATCTTTGATACGTCTTGGTTTCATTGTACAACATTTCACGACATTACAAAAATACTGAAAGGCGTTTTTTTTATAAAAATGTTCTGAAGCTGTCTGAGAGCTTTGTTTTTTTTTAATAAAACTTAATATTCACAAGTTGTCAACGTTCATGGAAGACATCTGCCACGCTTTGCCTCTTTAAAGCAGCATGTTTTACATTTACACAGGTCTCAACACAAGGTCATAGTGGGTGTTTCTTCAAAAGATATACTGTATTTACACACATGATACAGTACTGTACAATTTATGGTAGCATGCAGAATGTTCCGATGCTGAATATAGTAGATTTTCAAGACATGTATTAAGAAAAAAATAGTTTCCCTACAAACGTCAGATCAAAGTTTGTCTGAATCACTGAGTGAGGACGATGCTGTCAGTGGTTTTAAGTATTTGTTTTCTTCTAAAAAGTTGATTACATGAATGCAAACATATTAGCATCATTATTACTTTAAAATTGTATCACAATATAATGATTTTCACCTATCCTAATGCAGAGCGTCATTACCAGGCCTATTGTATTACTTTACAAGACTTTATGAGATATTAAGTAGGTACAATGTGCCAAAATAATGAATTGTTTACTTTTTTATTTGCTTAATTGTGCTTTTGGTAAAAAGCCTCTATCAGAAATGCTCTAGGAAGTCACTGTGTAGCAAACAGTATATCACAGGATTTCTCAGTGATGGGAATCATCACTATGATTAGTAACAGTAAAGTACACGTACTGTATGTGATGCTTTTTTTCCACAGTGATCCAATCTCAAGTTACATGTGTCTGTTGGAGCAGGTGCCTGTTCACTGGCTGGAGAAAGGCACACTTGTAGGCTATAAACACTGAAATATATAGACATGACATTAAGACACACTGGCACGCTCACAGAAAGGCCTCACCCAAACACACAGACATAAACACACATCATACGCACAGGACACACACTCTCACACACGCGCTCTGACCTAACACATGTGAGCACCCGTCTGGTACATATAACAGTCATTTCATTAAATGGCTCAGTGGGGGCTCGTCCTACCCAGCAGAAAGAGGCCCACATCCAACAC